CATAGTTCCTTCTTTAGCCATATTCCTCTCTTCATAAATATATAGAAAAAGGTTAAAGAATTACTTTTATAATAGGCTTCAAAAAACTCTAAAATTTTAATTTAGTTGTCATTATTCATATAGTATGATCCAAGTTCATATAGTATGATCAGTTCAAAACAAGTCCCATCCAGTATGAAGGAGAACAGACAGTTCAAAATTTTTCAACACATCGTACAGTACAATCTAGAGATCGTCGAGCATAATCTATTATATTTCCTCTGTTCATATAGGATGAATCCTGGGATGACCAAAAATCATCTCTATTTAATTGTCCCATACTGTATACTTCATACTATATAATTAGTTAATTTCAAATAATTAATCTAGTACGATATTAATATCATATCGTACGATTAGAATTAAAATCGTGGTTCCATTCGATACCATCTATAGGATGACAAAATTTTGTCTCTATTTTTTTATAGTATGATAATAATTGTACAGTATGAATAAGAAATCATTAATTAATGACTATTTAATTGCCTAATTATGGGGGGTTAATTTTAGCAAGATTTTAAATGAATATATAGTACGATTGTAATCATAAAGTATAAATAATTAAAAAAATATAATTTAAAATCTTACTAAAATTATTCTCGCTACTAAAGTTTTCAGATCGAAACAAATCATACAATATGATCAAGATCGTACAGTATGATTAGTTCATAGAAACTAAACTTCCAATTAGCTATCAAGCCTTTACTCACAAAATACATCATACATTACAAATGAAAATCATACAATTCGATTTATTTTAAAAAAAAAAAATTATTAAAAAAAATCTCCCCCTGTGTGTGTGCATAGTAATCCAATTTGCATGCACTCTTATGTGGAAAGACTCAAGAAATAAAATATGAAAAGAAAAATATAAATTATAGACTCTTTTACATCATATTCTACCCAATCTTGTGTCTTCAATAGTCTTAAGCGGTGTGAATTTTTCTTGAAATGATAGTGCTTACAAACAAAAATATCATCTAAAATATTCAAGAAAGAAAGTTGTAATACAATCAATATTATTTCATCATCAAAATTATAGACTATGGATCCTAGATTACAACACTACCCTCATCCGGGCATTCCAGGCCAGATGGCGAGGATGAAGATCTCTAATCCTAGTTTTTTGGATGGTTCTTTGAAATTTCACTACTTTTAAGAGGATTTATCTGGTTCTCCCTTTAATGTATGCATTCTTGAGATCAAACCTTCTACATTTTGTGGTATGTCTCTATTTGGATCTTTGAGGAGGAAATCCTAGCACTTGCAACTCCTTTTCAATTTTCTTTGGATGATTTTTTTCCTAGCTGATGCCCTAGCCTAGAATCCATCCAAATGTTCTTCTTCAACCTTAAGCTCAATGCCAATTTTTCCATGACCTTGCTCAACCTATCGCATATTCTGAGTGAGTTGATGAAAGATACGGATTATAGTAGAGTGTTTGATCATAGATCTTATTTTGTCAATAATTACTACATGAAGTTAATCAAATGGTTTCCCTTACTTGATATTGGTGTTGAATCTCCTATCATTCCCATCTGAAATTCTTTCCCTAACCTAAGATATCACCTTTACTCATCTCGTATTGCTCTTGGTTATTTGTTTGGTTATCCGTTAATGGTTGATAATGCCAGTTCCATTGGCTCTCGAACATTTGTAGCTCGGGTTTTGGTGGAGCTTGACATTACTAAAAAATATCCAATAAAGTGTGGCTAGGTCAAAAAAAGTTTGGGTATATTCAACTTGTAGACATAGAGGAATATCCTGTCCATTGTAATTGTATTTGCCATGGTAGGGGGGATTGAAACAAAACTTCTACTCTGGTGAATGTTCCTGCTGTCAATTTTAATCTCATCACGACTAATGGGAAGTTAGCTAATGGTTTCGAAAATGTTATTGAAAATTATACTATTTCTTATATTAATAAGGGGCCCATTAATGGGGGTAATGATGGGGTAACTAATATTGGGGTGGAGGTTTATGGGGTTGTTATTGGTCATGCCGAGGAGAATGTTCTGTCGTCGGTTGTTGTTATGCTTATGGATGTTTCTTGTGCTAATAATGAGAGTGTTTTGGTGGTAATGGGAAATGATTCTTGTATGACTAATTATATTGCCTCTCCTATTGAGTCTCCCATCTATAATTTGGATTCTTTGGATCATGTGGACTGTGATGTTTCAACTCCTATAGATGGTTTGGTTTCTAGTGTGGCAAATGAGAATGTAGATGCTTCTGTTGGTTTGGATGATCAACAACTAACTAGTGTGGGTACTCTAGTGGATTATAATGTTGAAATTCCTAGTCTTGAGTCTCACATTTCATTGGTTTCTAATGTTGTTTCGATAGGTAATTTGGGCCCGATCATAAATGTGCCTTTCTTGGATGTTCCAATTGCACTTATTTCTTTTGAGGGTTTTAAAAATCAATTGGCTTCCAAATTCATACTTAGTCCTATGGATCATTATGATTGGTTGGATGACCTTATTCCTCTCCTTGTAGGGATTTTGCAGATGATTTGGATGAGTTGGAGGATGATTTTAATGTGTATAGCTTGAATGTAAGTCATTGTGCTCAAAAAGTTCAATACCATGGTGTTGGGCACAAATAAAAAAAAAAAGTAATTAGTTTTTTTTTTTTGCTCGAGTCCTTTTCTATTACAGTCTCCCCACTTTTTTTCTAGGCTGGATGCTATGTTACTTAGTTGTGACCCTTAATTGTCTAGTCTGGTCAATGATGAGGCGGCTTTTTGTCCAACCTCTGGATGGACTTGGCTTGCTGGAAACCTTGGTGGCTTCTTCCCTCGTTATTATTGGTGGAATTTGATTGGATTATGGGGTGATGCTTGGTTTATGCTTGATGCTATCATAGGATGGTCCTTGCTTGCCTTTTAGATGGTCGGTCAGAGGCCCATTCTACGTCCTAAGACTGGCTATTATTTTCCTTGATTGACTGATTTCAGCTTTGTAATGTTTATATCTTCCATGTTTGTCTTCGCTGTATTTTCCTTTTTAATGAAATAAAAGTGCTTTTTTCCAAAAAAAAAATCCAGTGACAGTGATTGAGCGGTGAAAGATCAATGGATGCTCTCACACACTATATGTGTGGCAATGCCTTGTAGCGGCGATCACACGGCTGTTAGGTAATGAAGTTTCTAATTGTGATAGTTGAATAATGGCCCAATGATGATTGTTTGGTTTTATTCTATGTCAATGTTTGAGTAGTGAAGGTTTAACAATGGTGGTCATGTGGTTGGCCCATGACAGTGATGCTTACGTGAACATCTCGATTGTTCTCTTTAACCCTTTGAGCCGTCTTGAATACATAACCAAATGGAGGCTTCTTCATGTTTAGTGTAAGGGCTTATTTATAGAATTTTTCGTGTAGTATGCCTCATAAATATGGAGAAAAAAAAAAAGCACAATCAAATTTTCCACATTGGTTCTCTTGATTATAGAGAGTGCATTTAACATTTTGGTGCCTTTATAATGTCAAAATTATGCGACCCTGGCCTTGCTAGATTATTTTCTTTGTTGCTAAATTTTACTATAAGCATACTAAATTTGAAGATCATTAGGACCTTTAATTAATATTTCAAAATTTTTAACTAAATTTCAAGCACCCCTTTATGGATTAATTTGGACTCGAATCAAATAATTTTGATATGTCATTAGATTCGATTGGTCGTCTCGATCAGTTTGAGTATAACTTGATTGAAAATGGAGTTTGTATGGTCCTAATTTTAATTTTAATATTTGCAATTTAAATATATATCAAGATTCGGGCCTAATCAAGCCATTATTTTATGCCGGATCAGTCTCCTTTCAAATTTGTAATATAATTAGAATTGATGATACAACTAGCTTATTTAACCAATAGACCACAAATCCCTTGATCTAATGGATTCCTCCTGCATCTTGAAACACGTTGTTTTAAGCATATATTGATCCAAGCTATAATTGTACAAGTCGGGATTATTCATTTAATCAATAGGTTATGGGTCTTTTGGTCTAATGGATTCATGTATAAATAGAAAGAAGTTGTTTAAACTGTAGATTTGTTAATATTATTATTCAAATTATTTACGAAATAGTTAAAAAATTATATTTTGGATGTTTTTTTATTTAAAGTTTGCATCTGATCGGATTTTTTTTTACAGGTTGGAGCGGCCGCGATCGCATACCCCAAGGTCTACTTAGGGCATATCCAACCGAAAAACTCATTTTTCACTCCAAAATACAGTAATACACCAAAATGCAGTAATTTGTCTCCAACCGAACTCCATTTTCTAACACAAGAAAAAGAATATTCCTAGTATATTCTTTCCCATATTTCATTTTATATATTTTTAATCATTAATATTATTTATCAATTGTTACTTGTTATTTTTATTTTTTGTTATTCGAATGTAATCTGTATTTTGATTTTTTTTGGGTATTGTACTTCTCAATATCTTTTATGTATGAGAATTTTATCTTAATGTTAACTTACATTAATTAATTTTGTAAACAAAATTTAGATTTCTAAAAAATAAGATTTTTCTAATTTATTATTTTAATTAATAATAAAAATATTCTAAACTTTAATCTTTAAAATTAATTATTAAGTTTCGAATTTAAAAAAAAAACAAAAAAAAGAAATGCAATATGCCGTTCATCTCCCTTCAAATGCTGGCAAATATAGGAATCGATTGGAGGGAAGGAAGAACGACAAACACTGATTTTCCGTTCAGCTGCAGTTTACTTAAATCTCACGCTATTCTGCAATTTAAGTATTATTATTATAATTGGTGCAGATCGACCAAAGACGAAGCACCACCTAAGAACCATTACGAATTTAAGAACAAAACTACCAAATTATAAATAGACAATTTAGAGGACTGAAACGTTCCATTGGCTATATCACCTTTTGGCCATTCTCATCATCTTTTGCAAGAAGAAGGTATCTAAAAAAATTCTATCTCAATGGCTTCTGACCTCTCTGGCATCAACAAGTGTTTGTTGCAAAGCGAAGCTCTTCAGAAGGTTCTTTTATTTTTCTGACAGAAACTCTGTCTATCTATTCTTCAGTCGAAAAGCCATTATAATCTCATTTCTTCTAATTAGCAGCAATGGTTTATGAATCTTTTGATGTAGTATATTTTTGAGACAAATGTGTACCCAAGAGAGCATCAACTGCTTAAGGATTTGAGAGAAGAAACTGAAACTAAGATTCCCAGCAGGCAAGCAAGTCTTTGTTGTTATAATCTTTTTTATTTATTTTTATAGTGATTATATAAAAAAAGGGATTTTTACATGCATAACACTTGAAACTATCATTAATACATATTCAACATTCAAACTATTATATTTACTAATATACCACTTAAAATAGCCTTTTCCTAAATTATACCACTCCGTTAAACCCCCGTCAAAAATCTCTTCTCACCTCATTTTACTTTCGTTCGCGCAAGATGGGGTTGGCCAATAGAACAAGAGCAACGGCGGTCATGGAGATGTCTCCGACAATCTGAAGCTAGCTAACCCTCGTCAAAAATCCGTGTTCGCCTGCAAGGTTGCGAGCGGAGCCTGCTCCATTGCTTATGCTTATGCTCTCTCGGTTGCAAGGTCCCCCTTCTCTGATTCTTCTAAAATCTGCAGCTCAAATTATACATTCTTTCGTTTCAAGTGATGCACAATCACCTCATTCACGATAACATCATCGTCATCATCATCATCTTCCTCCAAAACACCATCTTGATCACCTTCCTCATAATCTTAACTCCAAAACCCCACGAGATCCTCAAAGGACATCACAAATCAAAGAGGTAATGTAGAAAACAATCAGTAAAACAACATAAAACTGGAGCAATAAGAAAATGCGCGGTAGTGCAACCCTAGGAGACCACAATCTTCGTTCAGGGATACAAGCTAATACACTAAATCACCATAAATCAAACTCAATCAGAAAAAAAAAAAAGTAAGGTGGGTTGCTTAAACCTTAGTAAACTTAGAAATGATCCTCATTTTGAGAGGCATGCAAGAAAAAACAACAAAGCTCTTCTCTCAGAGGACTGCGGCTCCTGGAGCACTGATGTGAGCTCATTGGAAGGAAGATTTCTGGAGCTCCAAGCATATTAAATGCTCGTCGGAGGGAGAAGGTAAGTTTATGAGACGAAAAAAAAACTGGAATTGGCCGGCAACGGTGGAGAATACCCAATCATCTTGCCGACGGTGAGGGACAAGGATGGCGACGATCGCTGGTGGAGAAGGATTTGATGTGGAAGACGGAGAATCGGCGACGACGACTCGACGGGATTTCTGAAGGGCCTTAACGGAGTGGTAGAATTGAAGAAAAAAGAGGTTTTATGTGGTATATCAGTAAATACAATACTTTGAATGTTGAATATGTATTTAGGATAGTTTCAAGTGTTATGTATGTAAAAATCCCATAAAAAAAACCTTAATGCTTTATTCAAAGTTAATGAAAGCTTTCATTTTTCTCTTCATTGTGTTAAATTTTTGGGGAAGGCAGGGCTTTGATGAGTGTGCCTCCTGATGAAGGGCAACTGCTTTCTATACTACTTAAGGTGATGAACGCCAAAAAAACCATAGAAATTGGGGTTTTCACAGGTTACTCCCTCCTCACTACGGCTTTAGCGTTACCTAAAGATGGCAAGGTGAAAGTTTTATTCCTTTATTTTTCCCTAATTTGTTTTGAAATTCTTCGTTTGAAAATTTTTATAAATAGCTCATGTAGGGGAAATAGTTAGAAGAAAATCATTTTTTTTATATAGATATTTGAATCATTAAGATAAATTTTCTCACACAACACATATCAAAATGAGTTATGAAAGTTTTCTTATCCGTTCCATCTTTTTTTCAGAAATCCTTCATTTAAAAAATTTTATTAGATCTTATAGCGAAATAGTCAGGAGAAAATTAAATTTTCTGTCTTTTTTATCATTTGAATCATTAAGATAAATTTACACATACATCATATATATAAATTTGGAGTCAAAAAATTTTTAATTAGTAGTCAAAATTTCCAACCAATTAATCAAGATAAGCTCTGTGTGTGGAAGTTCTGTGTGTGGAAGTTTATGAGAAATATAATTTTTCATTGGACAAAAAGTGGAGTTTGAGTACATTTGTACTACTAAACAGCTGTCCTTTAGACGTCCGGTTGTTTTAGTCAATACACAACTCTCCTTAGCCTATTGGTTGAGAGCTTTGGCTTCCAACTAAGAGGTTCAGGGTTCGAGTCTATGTGTATGCGTTGTGTGTGTGAGTTTGCCTTAAATGGCCTAAATGTCCCAAAAAAAAAGT